GGGGGGGGGGGGGGGGGCTGTTCTGAGGCGCCATCAAAAAAGAACTTGTATTTTACTGAGAACAATGCTCCCAGAACTTGGGGTGTGCCCGTCAAAGGGCGGGACCCCTAGATGTGCCACAGTGTCATCCCGCTGCGAGATTCCGGTGTCCGCCGGGTTAGCGGGATTGGGCCTGCTGCTGGCCTTTCTTAGCACGCTCGGCTGCAGTGTACGAGCCCCAGGTATGGCTATCTGCTCATCACGCTTTCTTCCTTCGCCAGTACTTTGGAGCTTGCTGTTAGATTGTTTGCTACACAGTATCTTTCCTGGGTCGTTTTTGTGGCCAGTCTATTTGAATATTGTTTTACTCTCACGTGGTCACTGTGGCTGTCTCTACTTAGGGCCCAGGAATGACTCAGCCAATTGTAATGGTAATAAAGTTAACTACCAAATGGAAAATAATCAGCATAACTTGGTTTCAACACTAAATGATGCTCTATAACTTTTTGACTTCACAAGAGAGTTTATTTGTCTTCTTCATGCCTCTGTTCATTTGAGTAAGCTGTTTGCATTAGGCAGCTCACATTTTCCCCTTTAACTACTCACAAGATTCAGGCAGGAGGAAAATGATGTAGCAGCAGGAGGCGGTGTTAATACTCCATGTCAGATCACAGCATTTAAATGTTACAAAGAACTTCCTTGGTGGGCCCTCCAGGGCAGTTCTTTCATTCCTTGTTTTTATTCCTAGTTGACTCTTCTGCCATCATGTATGCAGCTGCAGACATTTCTCACTTCTCAAGGCCCCACTTACCTCACTCAGCCTTTCTTCTATCATCAACACCCACATTTTCCCTCCAGTGTGGCAGAATTCCCCAGCATGCCTCCTCTCTGACTCCTTTCTGGTTTCTGAAGAAGGGTCTCTCTCTTTCCAAGACTTCTCTTGAGTAAGTTTCTTTCAAAACTCTCCAGATATCAACACTATCACTTTACCCTGTCATTTTACTAAGCTCTACAGAGTCTTCTTTGCTTTTAAAATGCCTTTAACTTTCCCCTGCTAAAGCAAACCTTACTTCCCCGCTTGCCACTCTATGATACAGTCCCATTGCTTTCTTCTCTTCTCCATGAGTCTTCTTAACAGAAATTTTTACATTTGCTGCCCCTAGTTCCTCATCCCTTGGCACTATCCAATCTACTATCTGGGTCTGGCTTCTGCCCTTTCCCATTTATTTAAATGCACCACTACTGACATTCCAATAACCAAAGATAAATTTTCACCAGCATACTCGACATTTTTTTTTGTACCGGGGATTGAACTCCGGTCCTTGCGCTTGCACAGCAGGCGCCGAATCCACTGAGCTCAATCCCCGGCCCTCACTTGACATTATTGATAATTCACCCCCTTAGAGCCTTCTCACTTGCTCCTTTGCTGTCTTGATTTTTTTATTATTTAAAAATAACTTTATTATCAAACATACAGAAATTAAAACCACTCAAAGAAAAACAATGCAAGGGGGAAAAAACTACAATAATATTCAAATACAGTAGAACTCAACCAAAACAAAACTGAAGAGCACTTAAACATTTTTCCATATAACTTAATAAAACATCTCAAGCACCAATAAGACACCAGAGGATGTGATTTGTTTCAGAAAGGTCCCCAAAACCAACATTGAACAAATAGTGGTCTGGAAATAAAACTACAGTTAGCTAGCAGACTCCACATAAGCCAAACTTCTGCCTAATTTAAATTTCGATACAATCATATGACACGCGATGGAAACACAATCCAAGAAATATGTTATTAGGCCATTTCATCTGTGTGTATCCTTAATTACACTTTCAGTTTCTCACACTAGAGAAACTATACGGTATTTACACATGTGTGTCCTATTTATTTCACTTAAGAGGATGGCCTCAATATGCATCTATTTAGCTATAAAAATCTCTAGTTTCTTGTTCTTTATGGCTGAGTAGTACTCCATTTTATAAAAAAACCACATCTTCTTTATCCAGTCTCCAGTTGATGGGGACTTGGGCTGTTTCCAAGCTTTAGCTGTTACAAACTGTGCCGCCATAAACATGGATGCACATATATTGCATATATCGCATATATATGGTATGATTCTTTTAATTCCTTTGGGAAGATCCCCAGCAGGGAGATAGCTGGGTCAAATACCACCTCTAGTCCTAGTTCTTTGAGTATCTCCATACTGATTTCCACAGTGGTTGCACCAGTCTGTACTCCCACCAGCAATGGAGAAGGGTTCCTTTCTCCCCACACCCACGCCAGCATTTGTTATTGGTTGATTTCTTTATATA